GAACAAGGACGCATGTCACGTGACCAAACAGACATGGGTGCAATAACCTGGTCGATCGCCGGGCCGCGTGGCTCGCCGCTGGTCCCCGAGTCATGTGACCGCGCAGGCGTGATTTCCGCTGTGTCAAGTACGAGACTTGGCAACGTGGAAATCCCACCAGAAGCACTGTCCCGCGAACAGGGCCCAGCAGAAGTGCCAGGCCAAGAAATTGGTGAAATAATTGCCTGCATTTAAAAATATATAATAAATAATCAAAATTGATTTCTCCTCTTTAATTTCTTTTATTTTATGCAGGGCTTTTCTGAACCGGGCTTTGCTTGATTTGAAATAAGTTGTGGACTTACCAACTTTATGTCCTTTTACCCGGTCCCAGCTCATAAAAACTTTATGATCTTCTTTAGTATAGGTAGTATTTTTTCTTGTGTCAATATATTTAACTTGAAATAATGAAAATTTCCTTAGCCATTTTAAATTTTGCCCAAAAGTTTCAAGATTGAGATGTTTTTTGATGAAGTCATTAAACAAAAAGGTTTTCTTCTGTTTCTTGGTTGTGTACATGTGTCACATTTGTGTGAGAACCTGGTAGGCGTGTGGTGTCAGATGGGCTTACCACCAGAGCATCGTGTTTGTGTCACGTGTTACACAGTGTGCATCAGCGACCTGGTTGTTATTACCAGGAGGTAAACAAACCTGGTCACGTGACAACGTGTGCAGAAACATGCGCAATAGGATGTCCAAACTCGTCGAGACGAGTGGCAGAACAAGGACGCATGTCACGTGACCAAACAGACATGGGTGCAATAACCTGGTCGATCGCCGGGCCGCGTGGCTCGCCGCTGGTCCCCGAGTCATGTGACCGCGCAGGCGTGATTTCCGCTGTGTCAAGTACGAGACTTGGCAACGTGGAAATCCCACCAGAAGCACTGTCCCGCGAACAGGGCCCAGCAGAAGTGCCAGGCCAAGAAATTGGTGAAATAATTGCCTGCATTTAAAAATATATAATAAATAATCAAAATTGATTTCTCCTCTTTAATTTCTTTTATTTTATGCAGGGCTTTTCTGAACCGGGCTTTGCTTGATTTGAAATAAGTTGTGGACTTACCAACTTTATGTCCTTTTACCCGGTCCCAGCTCATAAAAACTTTATGATCTTCTTTAGTATAGGTAGTATTTTTTCTTGTGTCAATATATTTAACTTGAAATAATGAAAATTTCCTTAGCCATTTTAAATTTTGCCCAAAAGTTTCAAGATTGAGATGTTTTTTGATGAAGTCATTAAACAAAAAGGTTTTCTTCTGTTTCTTGGTTGTGTACATGTGTCACATTTGTGTGAGAACCTGGTAGGCGTGTGGTGTCAGATGGGCTTACCACCAGAGCATCGTGTTTGTGTCACGTGTTACACAGTGTGCATCAGCGACCTGGTTGTTATTACCAGGAGGTAAACAAACCTGGTCACGTGACAACGTGTGCAGAAACATGCGCAATAGGATGTCCAAACTCGTCGAGACGAGTGGCAGAACAAGGACGCATGTCACGTGACCAAACAGACATGGGTGCAATAACCTGGTCGATCGCCGGGCCGCGTGGCTCGCCGCTGGTCCCCGAGTCATGTGACCGCGCAGGCGTGATTTCCGCTGTGTCAAGTACGAGACTTGGCAACGTGGAAATCCCACCAGAAGCACTGTCCCGCGAACAGGGCCCAGCAGAAGTGCCAGGCCAAGAAATTGGTGAAATAATTGCCTGCATTTAAAAATATATAATAAATAATCAAAATTGATTTCTCCTCTTTAATTTCTTTTATTTTATGCAGGGCTTTTCTGAACCGGGCTTTGCTTGATTTGAAATAAGTTGTGGACTTACCAACTTTATGTCCTTTTACCCGGTCCCAGCTCATAAAAACTTTATGATCTTCTTTAGTATAGGTAGTATTTTTTCTTGTGTCAATATATTTAACTTGAAATAATGAAAATTTCCTTAGCCATTTTAAATTTTGCCCAAAAGTTTCAAGATTGAGATGTTTTTTGATGAAGTCATTAAACAAAAAGGTTTTCTTCTGTTTCTTGGTTGTGTACATGTGTCACATTTGTGTGAGAACCTGGTAGGCGTGTGGTGTCAGATGGGCTTACCACCAGAGCATCGTGTTTGTGTCACGTGTTACACAGTGTGCATCAGCGACCTGGTTGTTATTACCAGGAGGTAAACAAACCTGGTCACGTGACAACGTGTGCAGAAACATGCGCAATAGGATGTCCAAACTCGTCGAGACGAGTGGCAGAACAAGGACGCATGTCACGTGACCAAACAGACATGGGTGCAATAACCTGGTCGATCGCCGGGCCGCGTGGCTCGCCGCTGGTCCCCGAGTCATGTGACCGCGCAGGCGTGATTTCCGCTGTGTCAAGTACGAGACTTGGCAACGTGGAAATCCCACCAGAAGCACTGTCCCGCGAACAGGGCCCAGCAGAAGTGCCAGGCCAAGAAATTGGTGAAATAATTGCCTGCATTTAAAAATATATAATAAATAATCAAAATTGATTTCTCCTCTTTAATTTCTTTTATTTTATGCAGGGCTTTTCTGAACCGGGCTTTGCTTGATTTGAAATAAGTTGTGGACTTACCAACTTTATGTCCTTTTACCCGGTCCCAGCTCATAAAAACTTTATGATCTTCTTTAGTATAGGTAGTATTTTTTCTTGTGTCAATATATTTAACTTGAAATAATGAAAATTTCCTTAGCCATTTTAAATTTTGCCCAAAAGTTTCAAGATTGAGATGTTTTTTGATGAAGTCATTAAACAAAAAGGTTTTCTTCTGTTTCTTGGTTGTGTACATGTGTCACATTTGTGTGAGAACCTGGTAGGCGTGTGGTGTCAGATGGGCTTACCACCAGAGCATCGTGTTTGTGTCACGTGTTACACAGTGTGCATCAGCGACCTGGTTGTTATTACCAGGAGGTAAACAAACCTGGTCACGTGACAACGTGTGCAGAAACATGCGCAATAGGATGTCCAAACTCGTCGAGACGAGTGGCAGAACAAGGACGCATGTCACGTGACCAAACAGACATGGGTGCAATAACCTGGTCGATCGCCGGGCCGCGTGGCTCGCCGCTGGTCCCCGAGTCATGTGACCGCGCAGGCGTGATTTCCGCTGTGTCAAGTACGAGACTTGGCAACGTGGAAATCCCACCAGAAGCACTGTCCCGCGAACAGGGCCCAGCAGAAGTGCCAGGCCAAGAAATTGGTGAAATAATTGCCTGCATTTAAAAATATATAATAAATAATCAAAATTGATTTCTCCTCTTTAATTTCTTTTATTTTATGCAGGGCTTTTCTGAACCGGGCTTTGCTTGATTTGAAATAAGTTGTGGACTTACCAACTTTATGTCCTTTTACCCGGTCCCAGCTCATAAAAACTTTATGATCTTCTTTAGTATAGGTAGTATTTTTTCTTGTGTCAATATATTTAACTTGAAATAATGAAAATTTCCTTAGCCATTTTAAATTTTGCCCAAAAGTTTCAAGATTGAGATGTTTTTTGATGAAGTCATTAAACAAAAAGGTTTTCTTCTGTTTCTTGGTTGTGTACATGTGTCACATTTGTGTGAGAACCTGGTAGGCGTGTGGTGTCAGATGGGCTTACCACCAGAGCATCGTGTTTGTGTCACGTGTTACACAGTGTGCATCAGCGACCTGGTTGTTATTACCAGGAGGTAAACAAACCTGGTCACGTGACAACGTGTGCAGAAACATGCGCAATAGGATGTCCAAACTCGTCGAGACGAGTGGCAGAACAAGGACGCATGTCACGTGACCAAACAGACATGGGTGCAATAACCTGGTCGATCGCCGGGCCGCGTGGCTCGCCGCTGGTCCCCGAGTCATGTGACCGCGCAGGCGTGATTTCCGCTGTGTCAAGTACGAGACTTGGCAACGTGGAAATCCCACCAGAAGCACTGTCCCGCGAACAGGGCCCAGCAGAAGTGCCAGGCCAAGAAATTGGTGAAATAATTGCCTGCATTTAAAAATATATAATAAATAATCAAAATTGATTTCTCCTCTTTAATTTCTTTTATTTTATGCAGGGCTTTTCTGAACCGGGCTTTGCTTGATTTGAAATAAGTTGTGGACTTACCAACTTTATGTCCTTTTACCCGGTCCCAGCTCATAAAAACTTTATGATCTTCTTTAGTATAGGTAGTATTTTTTCTTGTGTCAATATATTTAACTTGAAATAATGAAAATTTCCTTAGCCATTTTAAATTTTGCCCAAAAGTTTCAAGATTGAGATGTTTTTTGATGAAGTCATTAAACAAAAAGGTTTTCTTCTGTTTCTTGGTTGTGTACATGTGTCACATTTGTGTGAGAACCTGGTAGGCGTGTGGTGTCAGATGGGCTTACCACCAGAGCATCGTGTTTGTGTCACGTGTTACACAGTGTGCATCAGCGACCTGGTTGTTATTACCAGGAGGTAAACAAACCTGGTCACGTGACAACGTGTGCAGAAACATGCGCAATAGGATGTCCAAACTCGTCGAGACGAGTGGCAGAACAAGGACGCATGTCACGTGACCAAACAGACATGGGTGCAATAACCTGGTCGATCGCCGGGCCGCGTGGCTCGCCGCTGGTCCCCGAGTCATGTGACCGCGCAGGCGTGATTTCCGCTGTGTCAAGTACGAGACTTGGCAACGTGGAAATCCCACCAGAAGCACTGTCCCGCGAACAGGGCCCAGCAGAAGTGCCAGGCCAAGAAATTGGTGAAATAATTGCCTGCATTTAAAAATATATAATAAATAATCAAAATTGATTTCTCCTCTTTAATTTCTTTTATTTTATGCAGGGCTTTTCTGAACCGGGCTTTGCTTGATTTGAAATAAGTTGTGGACTTACCAACTTTATGTCCTTTTACCCGGTCCCAGCTCATAAAAACTTTATGATCTTCTTTAGTATAGGTAGTATTTTTTCTTGTGTCAATATATTTAACTTGAAATAATGAAAATTTCCTTAGCCATTTTAAATTTTGCCCAAAAGTTTCAAGATTGAGATGTTTTTTGATGAAGTCATTAAACAAAAAGGTTTTCTTCTGTTTCTTGGTTGTGTACATGTGTCACATTTGTGTGAGAACCTGGTAGGCGTGTGGTGTCAGATGGGCTTACCACCAGAGCATCGTGTTTGTGTCACGTGTTACACAGTGTGCATCAGCGACCTGGTTGTTATTACCAGGAGGTAAACAAACCTGGTCACGTGACAACGTGTGCAGAAACATGCGCAATAGGATGTCCAAACTCGTCGAGACGAGTGGCAGAACAAGGACGCATGTCACGTGACCAAACAGACATGGGTGCAATAACCTGGTCGATCGCCGGGCCGCGTGGCTCGCCGCTGGTCCCCGAGTCATGTGACCGCGCAGGCGTGATTTCCGCTGTGTCAAGTACGAGACTTGGCAACGTGGAAATCCCACCAGAAGCACTGTCCCGCGAACAGGGCCCAGCAGAAGTGCCAGGCCAAGAAATTGGTGAAATAATTGCCTGCATTTAAAAATATATAATAAATAATCAAAATTGATTTCTCCTCTTTAATTTCTTTTATTTTATGCAGGGCTTTTCTGAACCGGGCTTTGCTTGATTTGAAATAAGTTGTGGACTTACCAACTTTATGTCCTTTTACCCGGTCCCAGCTCATAAAAACTTTATGATCTTCTTTAGTATAGGTAGTATTTTTTCTTGTGTCAATATATTTAACTTGAAATAATGAAAATTTCCTTAGCCATTTTAAATTTTGCCCAAAAGTTTCAAGATTGAGATGTTTTTTGATGAAGTCATTAAACAAAAAGGTTTTCTTCTGTTTCTTGGTTGTGTACATGTGTCACATTTGTGTGAGAACCTGGTAGGCGTGTGGTGTCAGATGGGCTTACCACCAGAGCATCGTGTTTGTGTCACGTGTTACACAGTGTGCATCAGCGACCTGGTTGTTATTACCAGGAGGTAAACAAACCTGGTCACGTGACAACGTGTGCAGAAACATGCGCAATAGGATGTCCAAACTCGTCGAGACGAGTGGCAGAACAAGGACGCATGTCACGTGACCAAACAGACATGGGTGCAATAACCTGGTCGATCGCCGGGCCGCGTGGCTCGCCGCTGGTCCCCGAGTCATGTGACCGCGCAGGCGTGATTTCCGCTGTGTCAAGTACGAGACTTGGCAACGTGGAAATCCCACCAGAAGCACTGTCCCGCGAACAGGGCCCAGCAGAAGTGCCAGGCCAAGAAATTGGTGAAATAATTGCCTGCATTTAAAAATATATAATAAATAATCAAAATTGATTTCTCCTCTTTAATTTCTTTTATTTTATGCAGGGCTTTTCTGAACCGGGCTTTGCTTGATTTGAAATAAGTTGTGGACTTACCAACTTTATGTCCTTTTACCCGGTCCCAGCTCATAAAAACTTTATGATCTTCTTTAGTATAGGTAGTATTTTTTCTTGTGTCAATATATTTAACTTGAAATAATGAAAATTTCCTTAGCCATTTTAAATTTTGCCCAAAAGTTTCAAGATTGAGATGTTTTTTGATGAAGTCATTAAACAAAAAGGTTTTCTTCTGTTTCTTGGTTGTGTACATGTGTCACATTTGTGTGAGAACCTGGTAGGCGTGTGGTGTCAGATGGGCTTACCACCAGAGCATCGTGTTTGTGTCACGTGTTACACAGTGTGCATCAGCGACCTGGTTGTTATTACCAGGAGGTAAACAAACCTGGTCACGTGACAACGTGTGCAGAAACATGCGCAATAGGATGTCCAAACTCGTCGAGACGAGTGGCAGAACAAGGACGCATGTCACGTGACCAAACAGACATGGGTGCAATAACCTGGTCGATCGCCGGGCCGCGTGGCTCGCCGCTGGTCCCCGAGTCATGTGACCGCGCAGGCGTGATTTCCGCTGTGTCAAGTACGAGACTTGGCAACGTGGAAATCCCACCAGAAGCACTGTCCCGCGAACAGGGCCCAGCAGAAGTGCCAGGCCAAGAAATTGGTGAAATAATTGCCTGCATTTAAAAATATATAATAAATAATCAAAATTGATTTCTCCTCTTTAATTTCTTTTATTTTATGCAGGGCTTTTCTGAACCGGGCTTTGCTTGATTTGAAATAAGTTGTGGACTTACCAACTTTATGTCCTTTTACCCGGTCCCAGCTCATAAAAACTTTATGATCTTCTTTAGTATAGGTAGTATTTTTCTTCTGTCAATATATTTAACTTGAAATAATGAAAATTTCTTCAGCCATTTTAAATTTTGCCCAAAAGTTTCAAGATTGAGATGTTTTTTGATGAAGTCATTAAACAAAAAGGTTTTCTTCTGTTTCTTGGTTGTGTACATGTGTCACATTTGTGTGAGAACCTGGTAGGCGTGTGGTGTCAGATGGGCTTACCACCAGAGCATCGTGTTTGTGTCACGTGTTACACAGTGTGCATCAGCGACCTGGTTGTTATTACCAGGAGGTAAACAAACCTGGTCACGTGACAACGTGTGCAGAAACATGCGCAATAGGATGTCCAAACTCGTCGAGACGAGTGGCAGAACAAGGACGCATGTCACGTGACCAAACAGACATGGGTGCAATAACCTGGTCGATCGCCGGGCCGCGTGGCTCGCCGCTGGTCCCCGAGTCATGTGACCGCGCAGGCGTGATTTCCGCTGTGTCAAGTACGAGACTTGGCAACGTGGAAATCCCACCAGAAGCACTGTCCCGCGAACAGGGCCCAGCAGAAGTGCCAGGCCAAGAAATTGGTGAAATAATTGCCTGCATTTAAAAATATATAATAAATAATCAAAATTGATTTCTCCTCTTTAATTTCTTTTATTTTATGCAGGGCTTTTCTGAACCGGGCTTTGCTTGATTTGAAATAAGTTGTGGACTTACCAACTTTATGTCCTTTTACCCGGTCCCAGCTCATAAAAACTTTATGATCTTCTTTAGTATAGGTAGTATTTTTTCTTGTGTCAATATATTTAACTTGAAATAATGAAAATTTCCTTAGCCATTTTAAATTTTGCCCAAAAGTTTCAAGATTGAGATGTTTTTTGATGAAGTCATTAAACAAAAAGGTTTTCTTCTGTTTCTTGGTTGTGTACATGTGTCACATTTGTGTGAGAACCTGGTAGGCGTGTGGTGTCAGATGGGCTTACCACCAGAGCATCGTGTTTGTGTCACGTGTTACACAGTGTGCATCAGCGACCTGGTTGTTATTACCAGGAGGTAAACAAACCTGGTCACGTGACAACGTGTGCAGAAACATGCGCAATAGGATGTCCAAACTCGTCGAGACGAGTGGCAGAACAAGGACGCATGTCACGTGACCAAACAGACATGGGTGCAATAACCTGGTCGATCGCCGGGCCGCGTGGCTCGCCGCTGGTCCCCGAGTCATGTGACCGCGCAGGCGTGATTTCCGCTGTGTCAAGTACGAGACTTGGCAACGTGGAAATCCCACCAGAAGCACTGTCCCGCGAACAGGGCCCAGCAGAAGTGCCAGGCCAAGAAATTGGTGAAATAATTGCCTGCATTTAAAAATATATAATAAATAATCAAAATTGATTTCTCCTCTTTAATTTCTTTTATTTTATGCAGGGCTTTTCTGAACCGGGCTTTGCTTGATTTGAAATAAGTTGTGGACTTACCAACTTTATGTCCTTTTACCCGGTCCCAGCTCATAAAAACTTTATGATCTTCTTTAGTATAGGTAGTATTTTTTCTTGTGTCAATATATTTAACTTGAAATAATGAAAATTTCCTTAGCCATTTTAAATTTTGCCCAAAAGTTTCAAGATTGAGATGTTTTTTGATGAAGTCATTAAACAAAAAGGTTTTCTTCTGTTTCTTGGTTGTGTACATGTGTCACATTTGTGTGAGAACCTGGTAGGCGTGTGGTGTCAGATGGGCTTACCACCAGAGCATCGTGTTTGTGTCACGTGTTACACAGTGTGCATCAGCGACCTGGTTGTTATTACCAGGAGGTAAACAAACCTGGTCACGTGACAACGTGTGCAGAAACATGCGCAATAGGATGTCCAAACTCGTCGAGACGAGTGGCAGAACAAGGACGCATGTCACGTGACCAAACAGACATGGGTGCAATAACCTGGTCGATCGCCGGGCCGCGTGGCTCGCCGCTGGTCCCCGAGTCATGTGACCGCGCAGGCGTGATTTCCGCTGTGTCAAGTACGAGACTTGGCAACGTGGAAATCCCACCAGAAGCACTGTCCCGCGAACAGGGCCCAGCAGAAGTGCCAGGCCAAGAAATTGGTGAAATAATTGCCTGCATTTAAAAATATATAATAAATAATCAAAATTGATTTCTCCTCTTTAATTTCTTTTATTTTATGCAGGGCTTTTCTGAACCGGGCTTTGCTTGATTTGAAATAAGTTGTGGACTTACCAACTTTATGTCCTTTTACCCGGTCCCAGCTCATAAAAACTTTATGATCTTCTTTAGTATAGGTAGTATTCTTTCTTGTGTCAATATATTTAACTTGAAATAATGAAAATTTCTTAGCCATTTTAAATTTTGCCCAAAAGTTTCAAGATTGAGATGTTTTTTGATGAAGTCATTAAACAAAAAGGTTTTCTTCTGTTTCTTGGTTGTGTACATGTGTCACATTTGTGTGAGAACCTGGTAGGCGTGTGGTGTCAGATGGGCTTACCACCAGAGCATCGTGTTTGTGTCACGTGTTACACAGTGTGCATCAGCGACCTGGTTGTTATTACCAGGAGGTAAACAAACCTGGTCACGTGACAACGTGTGCAGAAACATGCGCAATAGGATGTCCAAACTCGTCGAGACGAGTGGCAGAACAAGGACGCATGTCACGTGACCAAACAGACATGGGTGCAATAACCTGGTCGATCGCCGGGCCGCGTGGCTCGCCGCTGGTCCCCGAGTCATGTGACCGCGCAGGCGTGATTTCCGCTGTGTCAAGTACGAGACTTGGCAACGTGGAAATCCCACCAGAAGCACTGTCCCGCGAACAGGGCCCAGCAGAAGTGCCAGGCCAAGAAATTGGTGAAATAATTGCCTGCATTTAAAAATATATAATAAATAATCAAAATTGATTTCTCCTCTTTAATTTCTTTTATTTTATGCAGGGCTTTTCTGAACCGGGCTTTGCTTGATTTGAAATAAGTTGTGGACTTACCAACTTTATGTCCTTTTACCCGGTCCCAGCTCATAAAAACTTTATGATCTTCTTTAGTATAGGTAGTATTCTTTCTTCTGTCAATATATTTAACTTGAAATAATGAAAATTTCCTTCAGCCATTTTAAATTTTGCCCAAAAGTTTCAAGATTGAGATGTTTTTTGATGAAGTCATTAAACAAAAAGGTTTTCTTCTGTTTCTTGGTTGTGTACATGTGTCACATTTGTGTGAGAACCTGGTAGGCGTGTGGTGTCAGATGGGCTTACCACCAGAGCATCGTGTTTGTGTCACGTGTTACACAGTGTGCATCAGCGACCTGGTTGTTATTACCAGGAGGTAAACAAACCTGGTCACGTGACAACGTGTGCAGAAACATGCGCAATAGGATGTCCAAACTCGTCGAGACGAGTGGCAGAACAAGGACGCATGTCACGTGACCAAACAGACATGGGTGCAATAACCTGGTCGATCGCCGGGCCGCGTGGCTCGCCGCTGGTCCCCGAGTCATGTGACCGCGCAGGCGTGATTTCCGCTGTGTCAAGTACGAGACTTGGCAACGTGGAAATCCCACCAGAAGCACTGTCCCGCGAACAGGGCCCAGCAGAAGTGCCAGGCCAAGAAATTGGTGAAATAATTGCCTGCATTTAAAAATATATAATAAATAATCAAAATTGATTTCTCCTCTTTAATTTCTTTTATTTTATGCAGGGCTTTTCTGAACCGGGCTTTGCTTGATTTGAAATAAGTTGTGGACTTACCAACTTTATGTCCTTTTACCCGGTCCCAGCTCATAAAAACTTTATGATCTTCTTTAGTATAGGTAGTATTTTTTCTTGTGTCAATATATTTAACTTGAAATATTATATTTTTCTTCAGCCATTTCAATTTTTTCCCAAAATTTCCAAGATTAAGATGTTTTTTTAGGAAATCATTATACAATAATGTCGGAAGAAAACGGCTCCTGGGCCGCTGGCTGAGTCGAGTGTTCTGGCTCCTCCAGGGCCGCGGTGTCGCTTCCTGGTGTCTTCTTGCTCCTCGTAGATGGTGCGCTCTTTTGGGCCAGTTTTTCAACCGTAGAGCAATCCTGGTGGTGTTTCTGCAGGTCTTTGAAGCTTTGTTGGCAGACCGTGCAGTCAAAAACCACGTTGTTGATCTTGTGTAGAACACGAAGGTGCTTCACCAGATCATTGTGGTTTTTGTAGACACCACTGCGGGTTACTCCCGCCATCCTGTAACACTCGGGACATTTAAAGACCTCAGGTAGCTGGAACGGCATCCTAAACGGATCACAAAGAGCGGGGGCAAGGTTGTGTACATGTGTCACATTTGTGTGAGAACCTGGTAGGCGTGGGAGGTCATTAGGGACTAACAAGAAGTGCTCCTAAATCGAGAGAAGCTTTTAACTTCAGTAGTATCCAGAATCCTTACCACGGGTGGGGGGTCATTAGGGACTGACAAGAAGTGCTCCTAAATCGAGAGAAACTTTTAACTTCAGTAGTATCCAGAAGCCTTACGACTGGTGGGGGGGTCATTAGGGACTGACAAGAAGTGCTCCTAAATCAAGAGAAGCTTTTAACTTCAGTAGTATCCTGAAGCCTTACCACGGGTGGGGGGTCATTAGGGACTGACAAGAAGTGCTCCTAAATCGAGAGAAGCTTTTAACTTCAGTAGTATACAGAAACGTCCAGGGGTGGCGACAATCACATAGGGCCTCAGCTCGTGAAGCCTCCTCTGCTTCAATTTTTGTTCCATCGTAAAATCACCGTAGCGCTAGGTGTGACCTTTAAATAAATTAGAAATACCTTGGCGTGCGCGCACTGTTGAATTTGAAAAAAAAAAAAATGGGGGAAGGTCAATCTTACCCAGATTGAAAATAGAGATTCACCAGTTGTGTTTGCACAAGTTGTGGAAATGAATTTAACAAAAATGGCATAAATATATATTTTATTTTGCTTATCAAAAATGACTGGGCATCAAAATAAAAATAAATAAATAGATAAAAAGGGTGATAATCAAATTGGCCAAAAGGTTAGATATATTTAAAATTAGAATATATATAAACAAGTGATATAAAATAAATATACATACAAACAAATAATGTAGAGAGCTGACGAGACCGGATCTTGGTGTGCAGCCGTGAGGTCTTGGGAACTATAGATTTGGTAGGAATTTTGAAGGCCAAATACTTTATCCCAGAATGTGAATTCTCTGCCAGGGCATGTGAATTCCACACCAGCGCAATCACATAAAGATACCCAGCATACTGCCATAGCAAGCTCTTTCAAAATCTGTAGAGATATTTTGCCCAAAGAAGAGAAGCAAAAAATACTTTTGATTCCAGCAGGTTTAAATACAAATTGAAATAAGATTAATAAACTAATGTAAATATGTGAAAGAGTTGTATAAAAGTGAATTCCTGCTCCGCCTTTGGAAGGAGGGATGAAGAGCACCTCGTTGCTGGCCTGCAGAGGCAGGCCAGGCCATTTCTTCCCTAGTCTCTTCATCAGCAGGTCCACTTCCCTGGAAGTCTTGTGGATCGGGGAACCTCGAAGAATGAAGTCGAGTCTTGTGCAGACGAAGGTCTTGGTGGCGTCGATCTTCTGCCAGGGAGCGAGGAGGCTGCTATGGATTTTTTCTGCATCTTCATTGATTCCCTTGATGGCTTTCTCAGGGTTTCTTTTCTTGGTAAATCCGGTGGGTACTCCAAGGTGGCAGTACGTGTCCTCTTGTCTCATTGCTGAGATTGGCTGTTCTTGGATGCAGAAGGTCCTGGTCAGGGTAGTCCCTTTTTTTCCTGCAGTCCAGGTGAAGAGTCGCGCATTTGGAGCCCTTGAAGTGGAGTCTGATCTTTCCCGCCAGATCGCCGGTGGTGTCCAGGGGTGCTTGTAGAGACTCCTTGTCCTTGGCCATGATAAGGAGGTCATCGGCATAGGCCAGCACCGACACATAGTGCCAGAGTAAGCAGACACCATGGTCCTTCGCCATCGAGGCGAGGGTGCAGACTATTACCTCTATGGCAACGTTGAAGAGGGTTGGGCTTCCAGGGCAGCCTTGCTTCACCCCGCGTTTAAAGGGGATGGGAGATGTGGTTCCCAGCAGGGTCCTGATCTAGGTAGAGGAGTTCGTGTACAGGTCCCTGAATACAGCGATTACCTTCTTAGGGATACTAAATGCATCTAACACATTGAAGAGGTTTTAGTGCGGTACCGAGCCGAATGCATTTCCAAGATCCAGCCAGGCGAAGCAAGCTTGTCTGCTGGTTCTCTTGGTCTCCTCGATGGCACTCTGGACCACAAAATTATCTTCAAGGCAACCCTCGAACTCCAGTCCCGTCGTCGCTGCCCATCTCCTGAGCCTATCAGCCAGGACCGCGGTGTAAAGTTTTGCGATCGTGTTGCCCAGCGTGATAGGCCTCCAGTTCCCTAGGTCCTCGGCGTCCTCTTTCTTGTGGAACAAGATAGAGGAGCTTTCCTTCCATGAAGGGGGTACCGCCCTCATCTGGAAGCAGGCCTGGAAGATCTGGGTGAGGATGGTGGCATTGGGATCCACCCGTTTCAGTTCCTGGTAGCTGATGCCGTCGGGACCAGGAACGGTGTTTCCCATCTTGAGAAGGCGGTACCATACTGCGTTGGAAGAGATGGGTTCTTCCAACTGGGCTCCGTCCTGGGGGGCGAAGTCCTTGAGGAGATCTGGGTCGGGGCTGAACTCGGTGTTGTCCCCAACGATGCGTTTCTCGAAGTGTTCTTCGATCATCTGGATAGGGATGGTGCAGCCCGGGGAGCGTTGGCCCAATTTTGGCATTTAAGAATGTAGAAATATTTTCCATTAGTTTTTCCAACATAGGAAACTTTTTTTTTTTTCATATTGAATTTATCTCCATTTTTAACTTAAATAAAGTATTACCAATTAATTTGGCATACAAAATAAAATTACCAACCTTAAATTAATTAGAATATTTTGTAAACAAACGATTATATTAGGGGGCGTTTTGTTGGTCCAGTTCCACAGGCAGTCCTGTCGGTGTCTCTGAAGAAATCGGCCGCTGGCTGAGTCGAGTGTTCCGGCTCCTCCAGGGCCGCAGAGTCGCTTCCAGGTGTCTTGCTCCTCGTAGATGGTGCGCTCTTTTGGGCCCATTTTTCAACCGTAGAGCAATCCTGGTGGTGTTTGGCGCTTCTGCAGGTCCGCAGGTCTTTGAAGCTTTGTTGGCAGACCGTGGCTGCCACCAAGTCGAGTCTTGTGTAGACGAAGGTCTTGGTGGCGTCGATCTTCTGCCAAGTAGTGAGTAGGCTGTTGTTGATTTTTTTCCACATCCTCCTTGATTCCCTTGATGGCTTCTCCGGGGTTCCTTGGCTTGTTGAATCTGGTGGGTACTCCAAGGTGACAGTACGTGTCCTCTTCTCTCATTGCTGAGATTGGCTGTTCTTGGATGCAATGTCAGCAATGGGTATGCTATCGCATGCTCCGGTTTATGGACCGAAAGGTCTGGGTGGCCACTGCTCCTAGGATGTTCTTGGATGCAGAAGGTCGTGGGCAGGGTAGTCCTCTTTTTCCTGCAGTCCAAGTGAAGAGTCGCGCATTTGGGGCCCTTGAAGTGGAGTCCGATCTTTCCGGCCAGATCGCCGGTGGTGTCCAGGGGCGCTTGTAGAGACTCCTTGTCCTTGGCCATGATAAGGAGGTCATCGGCATAGGCCAGCACCGACACATGGTGCCTAAGTAAGCAGACACCATGGTCCTTCGCCATCGAGGCGAGGGTGCGGACTACCTCTATGGCCACGTAGGGGGGGTTTTGTTGGTCCAGTTCCACAGGCGGTTCTGTCGGAGTCTCGGAAGAAATCGGCTCCTGGGCCGCTGGCTGAGTCGAGTGTTCTGGCTCCTCCAGGGCCGCGGTGTCGCTTCCAGGTGTCTTCTTGCTCCTCGTAGATGGTGCGCTCTTTTGGGCCCGTTTTTCAACCGTAGAGCAATCCTGGTGGTGTTTCTGCAGGTCCGCAGGTCTTTGAAGCTTTGTTGGCAGACCGTGCAGTCAAAAACCACGTTGTTGATCTTGTGTAGAACACGAAGGTGCTTCACCAGATAGTTGTGCTGCTTGTAGACACCACTGCGGTTACTCTCGCCATCCCGTAACACTCGGGACATTTAAAGACCTCAGGTAGCGGGAACGGCATCCTAAACGGATCACAAAGAGCAGGGGCAAGGTTGTGTACATGTGTCACATTTGTGTGAGAACCTGGTAGACGTGTGGTGTCAGACGGGCTTACCACCAGAGCATCGTGTTTGTGTCACGTGTTACACAGTGTGCATCAGCGACCTGGTTGTTATTACCAGGAGGTAAACAAACCTGGTCACGTGTGCAGAAACATGCGCAATAGGATGGCCAAACTTGTCGAGACGAGTGGCAGAACAAGGACGCATGTCACGTGACCAAACAGACATGGGTGCAATAACCTGGTCGATCGCCGGGCCACGCGGCGATGGTGCATTGCGATGTGATCTTGGAGAAGTGATCTTTTCATCTGTTCATTTTCCTGCTCCTTCTTCAATTCCGCCACCACAGCATTGCCAATTCTTATGGCATTGTCTGTTCTTTCTTGATAAACTTGTACGACCTCTTCTTCAGACATTCCTAGTTTGAATTCCTTCAATATCTTGTTTTTCAACATTTTCACCATATAGCCGAGGTCCACTTTGTTAGATTTGGGAAGAAGTGTTATTGCTAGGCCAGTATTTCCAGCCATAGCAGTACGGCCTACTCTCCTGGTATAGTCTTCCTTCACGTTGGGGCGATCGAAATTTTTCACCGCCGAGACTTCACGGAAATCCATGCCCCTCCCTGCAACATCTGTAGCCACCATATAAGATTGGGATTCCTCTTTGAACTTTCTCAAATTCTTGTTCCGGTTAGCCCGAGCCATATCGCCATGGAGCATCAATGGCCTGAAGCCAAGCGTTTCAAGAATTCTGTGCAGCTGAATTTTGTTTTGCAGAACATCAGCACTCTCTTACGATGAAAGGGTCCTTCTAGAAATGCTGCCAGATAGTATTCCTTGTGCTCCGTTAAACAGCGAAGGTAGAAATGTTCTAGATGGGGGCTAATCAGTGTGTCTCCTCGGATTTCCACAAAGTCTTGCAGAGAAAGTCTATTGAGATCTATATTCTCCGCAGACATAGTGGCGGAGAACAGCAAGGTCTGCCTCTCCTTGGGCAGCAGGTTCAGGATTTCATCCAGGTCTTTTTCGTTTTTAAGAATCCGGTCCGCTTCATCCAGGACCAGCACTTTGAGACATTTTAAAGAGAAGTTCTTGGTCTTAGTTAGATGGTGAAGGAGGCGTCCAGGGGTGGCGACAATCACATGGGGCCTCAGCTCTTTGAGCAGCAGGGCCTGATGTTCATAGCTGTCCCCACCCGTTAAATCAGTGTCGGGCAACCATTTTCGACCGAACCGTGCAGTGGGAGTACGTTAAGCCAAGCACGGTAGATGAACCTCCAGTCTGCAAAACGCATGTATCTCCCATTGTTGATGAAGCCATTGGAAGATGTCGAGCTTTAAACAAAGAATTCGAATCACTGGACGGCGTAACGTGGCTGGCTCGTGGGGGTGTCTTCTTCCTTGGCTTTCTTACATTTGCAGGCCCCCACCTCAATATCTCCAAATAAAATGTAAATATCAGAACACACACAGAAGAAGGTAGTGGATCTGCAACAGAAGACTTGTTTCGACAGGTGACCTCGTAGACCTTTTCCTGTTCAGACTTTTTAATCAGAGTTTTCAGGTAGGAGTCTTGGAAGGCCTGCCCAAAGCCTTGCTATGATTTGTTCCCTAGCAACTGTGGGGAGGCTGATTTCTTTGGGTGTCTTGTCAGCGTTGGGGAGCTTGATTGTTATGTCTCCCAGCGTTGGGTTGTGGACCCACTGAACGCCGATCCTTTTTGAGAGGCGTTGAGAAGTGTTTCTGGCATCACTGCAGAGTGAGGTGATGTCTCCACCAACCCTGGCAAAATCACCGTCAAGTTTCCCCGACGGATACCCCGCCAGCTCCTCTTCCAGTGCAAGCCGTCCCAGCTTCCTCTCCGCAACTCTTTTAAGAAGGCTTTTGGTGAGTGCGGAGGTTTCAGAGTCTGGGCTCGTGAGGAGCCGGAAGGCGTGTTGGATCTTGGCTAAATCGGTCCTGTCACCAAACGGCACCATTCCTGCTCCCCCTTTGGAAGGAGGGATGAAGAGCACCTCATTGCTGGCCTGCAGAGGCAGGCCATTTCTTCCCTAGTCTCTTTATCAGTATGTCCACTTCTCTGAAGGCGGTCTTGTGTAGACGAAGGTCTTGGTGGCGTCGATCTTCTGCCAAGTAGTGAGTAGGCTCTTGTTGATTTTTTCCACATCTTCTTTGATGGCTTCTTCGGGTTCCTTGACTTGTTGAAGTTGGTGGGTACTCCAAGGTGGCAGTATGTGTCCTCTTCTCTCATTGCTGAGATTGGCTGTTCTTGGATGCAGAAGGTCGTGGGCAGAGTTGTATTCTTTTTCCTGCAATTCAAATGAAGAGGTGCGCACTTGGAGCCCTTGAAGTGAAGTCCGATCTTCCCCGCCAGATCACTGGTGGTGTCCAGGAGTCCATGGAGAGACTCCTTGTTCTTGGCCTACTACGTGGCCTACTAATATACTGACCATGTTGGTACTCTAGCACTTCATTAGACTCTGTTTGAGCACTAGTAACTGCAAAAATTGATTGGTCTGAACCCTTGTATATGTATTTGCAGATATATTTTATAGCAGAGATTGAAGCACAGGACTCAACATTGCTGAGATTGGCTGTTCTTGGATGCAGAAGGTTGTGGGCAGAGTTGTATTCTTTTTCCTGCAATTCAAATGAGTCGTGCACTTGGAGCCCTTGAAGTGAAGTCCGATCTTCCCCGCCAGATCACTGGTGGTGTCCAGGAATCCATGGAGAGACTCCTTGGCCTACTAATATACTGACCACATTGATACTCTAGCACTTCATTAGACTCTGTTTGAGCACCGGTAACTGCAAAAATTGATTGGTCATAACCCTTGTATATGTATTTGCAGATATATTTTATAGCAGAGATTGAAGCATAGGACTCTAACATTGATGTGAGCATCAAATAGTCTGCATAGAAGTGGTGGCACAACATTATCTATAGTTACATTGGTCATGCCCACAACACCATTCTCAATGGTGAAACCTCTTACTCATTTAACAAAAGAAAAGCCGTCTTCCTCAGGCTTGTGACGTCTATATACAGTCTAGCCATAAATTCTGTTACAATTATATAAATTAAATGATCAAAAACTAATGGAATATAAATACATATTTTATTAGCCAATAGGATTTTAAATATATACAATCATTCCAAATATCCCCCCTTATTTTTGACACAGGATCTCAAACGTTTGGGCCACTGATCTATGGCGGCACGCACCTTTTCTAAGGGTATTTCTTTCATTGCGCTCACCAATGCTGATTTCAATTGATCCAAATTATGATATCTTTTAGAGCACCTTCTCCTCTAAATATGCCCACAAACTGTAATTAAGGGGGTTTAAATCAGGGCTTCCAGAGGGCCATTCATTGGCCTTTATGAACTCCGGAACATTCATCTCCAACCATGTTGAGTTGACTTAGCTTTGTGAGCAGGAGCTGAATCTTGTTGAAATATCCAATGTTCTCCATTAAACATTTTTGTATTCAGAGGCTTTACTATTTGTTCCAAAATATCTTCTTGATATTTTTTAGTTGTAGTTTTTACCACTTTGGCACAGAAGTGGAGAAACCTTCCACAGTAGAAGTTGGTTTCATGGCTCTATGTAATCTATCAGAAATTGATATACAAGGTGTGTCCAATAAATAACGAGACTGGTCAAAAATAAAAAAATTATTAGTATTTTTCAAAATAGTCCCCTCCCGCATCTATACATAATTTCCATCTCTTCTCCCATGATTTAAAACATTTAGAAAAGGCATCTTTCGGGATGTTCTTCAAGACCTTTTTCGAATCCGCTATGATGGACTCTCTAGTGTCAAATATCCTTCCTTTTAGAGCCATTATGAGTTATGGAAAGAGAAAAAAATCATTTGGAGCTAGGTCTGGGGAATAGGGAGGTTGTGTGTGTGTTGAAGTATTTGGATGCTGTGTTTAGCCAAATAAGTCAGTACAGATGTAGCAGTGTGTGGTGGTGCATTATCATGATGGATAATCCAATTTTTGGAACTCCACATTTCACTTCTTTTCAGACGAATTGATTCACATACACATCTCATAATATAAAGGACTGCGGTGTATGATTATAAAGTAATACTTAAAGCCTCCCCGCATAAGTTTCTTTTTTTGTGAAAATCAATATTAATTTCAAAGAGAAATATGTACTATTTCTAACTTTTTGGATGACGTATGAAAAGGTTGAATATATGAAGAGTAATGGTCTATATATGACATCTCATAATGTTTAAATAAGACTCCTTATTGATATATAAACGGGCGTACCTGGATCTGTAAAGAAAAAAAAAAATTCTCAAAATATTTCGAGAGATTGCTCCCTCTTTATCAATTTATTGCACAGTGAATTTAATTTACAAATTATTGTAGATCACATGAAAACAAATTTTTCATTGGTCAAAAACAATTATTGATAATAATACATTAAAAAAATTAATAATAATACAATAAAAATATGAAAATTAAAGGCTTTTTAGAATGCAGTTGATTGTTTGACCTTCCTCTAGATATTCATAATGCACAATTCCCTTTATGTCAAAGAACGTGACCAATAAGACTTTGTTTTTTGACTTGCAAAGTCGGGATTTCTTCGTTCTTGGTTCATCTTTTCCTTTCCAATCCATGGATTGGCGTTTTGTTTTAGGGTCATACCCGTAAACCCAAGTCTCGTCTCCAGTTATTACTTTTTCCTTCCAATTAGGGTTTTCTTCCACCATTTCAAGCATCTTTTTGGCAACTTCAACGCGATTCTCCTTTTGTTGGATTGTGAGCATTTTAGGGACAAATTTTGAAGGTGTCTTCTTTAACTGCAAGTCTTTAATTATCGATCCAACTAATGATTTTGATATCCCTGTTTTTTCCTCAATGTCCCGCAACCCTTTCGTGGATTTTCTTTTATCAAATTTGAAATTTGGCTCACCTTTTCAGGGTTCCTGTGCAGAATTGGACGTCCAACACACTTCTCACTTAAAAAAAAAACACACACTTCAAAGTAATCCCCATGAGATATTATACACTTGTGCCAAAGGTTTTTCCAATCTTCGAAGCACTTCAAAAAATCATTTTTAAAAATCTTTTTCAGCTCCTCCTTCGATGCCGTCTTGTCTCCAGTTGTTACTTTTTCCTTCCAATGGAAGGAAACAATGGACTCTTCAAAGAAAATTTCCTTACAGTATAAAACTCCCAATATTGATCTCACTACATTCCTGACACAAAACAAGATTTTTCTAGTTATTTGTGGATGTGTTTCTTCCACATGCTTTCAGAATATAAGCTGTGAAAAGTAGTGGGGAATGTTTTTATATAACAATTGGAATAACAAAAAAAAAAAAAATGAAAAGATTGCTGCTAGTAAAATTTCTTTCACAAAAAGAAATGCCAGATTTTGGATTAAATAATGGATTTCTTCAGAGTACCCAGGAATGTTTGTGAATTTGCTATAAGCAATTGTTGGGATTTCCTTTTTGTCTGTTTTATTTACAACCTATTGGTTGGGGAGTTGTTGATGTAGATTTAATTGCTGGAATGGCCTTCTGGCTGTTTTGTCTACACTGTAGATAGATGAATGGAGATATAATTGTTGGAAGGACCTTCTCTGGTTGTTTTGACTACACTGTAGATGGTTATTTCTTGTAGATTGCTGCTGGAATGGCCTTCTGGCTGTTTTATCTACACTGTAGATAAATGAATGGTTATTTCTTATTGTAGATATAATTGTTGGAAGGACTTTCTGGTTGTTTTGTCTACACTGTAGACAGTAAATGGTTATTTCTTGTAGATAGCTGCTGGAATGGCCTTCTGGCAGTTTTGTCTACAAGCTGCTGTGCAGATAAGGTTTGTTTGTTGTAAACAGTTGCTGGAATGGCCTTCTAGCTTCTTGTCTTACAACCCTAAAAATGTTAGACGATGTTTAAAGGAAAAGTGTAGAGGGGGGAGGGATGAGGTACCACGGGAAACTACGTCCGACATATCTCACCTTGCCACTCTCCTGTTGCTCGGCAATGTGGGACATGTCACGTGTACCTCGGGGGATGGCTGAGCACCATCTGCTAAAGGTTTCCCTGTTTCATATATTGTGGTTGTCCAGGGATGTACACCTTTTATTCTCTTTAAACATATAGTATAGAAGTGAGAAAGCACAAATGTTTCTTTTACAAATAAACTTCTAGTGACCTTACTGCAATGAAATAATATTGGGAGGGCTTAGGTCATCTGTGGTAAACCCTCCCAGCAGTTTTTTTTTTTTTTTTCCAATTTCATCTACCAGACCGCTTCTTAAAGCTGTAATACTGTATTACCTAGGGTAATACCTCTGCCTTGATCTATTCCTAAAAAAAAATTGGTTGGTCGTTGCTCTGTTGCTTGTTCTCCAGGCACAAGGCAGTGAGGCTGCATACCTTGTCCCATCTGGCATTGGTCCAACAGTCCTGTGGGTCTAACAACCTGTGGCTATGGTACTGGTCCTGCCAAACCTCTCATCTGGGAAGCCTTCACCAACATCCCCCCTGACCTGCAAGGCTGGGTCTTAGGGTGAGGCCTGGATGATGACACCCTGGCATCTGCCAAGCCCTGCATTTACAAGTACTTCCTCGCCATGGAACTGAGGAGTGTTCAAGAAGAGACCCCCTCCTTGTATGGAAGAGAACTCTCAAGTTTGAGTGCCTCCCTTGCTGAGAAGAAATTTATACACATATAACTATATATATTTACCTATATAATACAAGAAAATAAGACCTAATCCAAATAATTTATTAGTGTGTGACGTTTGGATTCTGGATTCTTTTGTCTGATGATGGTGACAATGTTGTTGCCGAAATGTCACACACTAATAAATTATTTGAATTAGGTCTTATTTTCTTGTATTATAATCTATAATCCAAAGTGTGTTTAATCGTTCCCTATATATCTTTTGTCTATTTTATCATATTTTTTTATTTACTGTAACCATTGATTAGAAAATAAAATTGTTGAAATTGTCTATTTCTGAAAAAATGTCTCCCTTAACTAAAATACAGTAGAGCCATCATGAGAGGACACTCCTTGCTAGAGTACATATTACAAAAGACAGTTTTCATTGCCAAAATGATTGACTGTTAGTGTCATAAGTATCTGTATATAGAATTTGTATGTGGCTCCAGGAATTCATGTTACATCAAGAGTTCTTGAACTTCTTAATGAGCATGACCTCCAAAATCTTGTCTAATTTAGACTAATAAAAGGGTAAGAAAAAAATGTTACCTCGAGAGAGATACATAGAATTCTGACCAGTTGCCGGCTAAACTGGTAAATGGGATTTGACCCATGAGGACCAACTTCCCGGACTTCCTGTAAGCCAATCTTTCATTTGTCTGATGGGTAATTCAGCAACATGGACTTCTGGTACAAGGACTTTAGATGGATCTTGACTCTAAATAACTTTTCTGTTCTTATCCACACAAGGTAATAAGACCAAATAAATATTTTGTGACATTTTGGTAATAGCGTTGTTACCATCTTCAGACAAAGGAGCTGAATGAGAAAAAATATCATAGCATGTTTTAAATAGTTACTGTTATCAAGTGTGTAAACAAGATAGCAGATAAGAAGAATATAGTATCCTTTAACTATCCTCTTCTTATCTGCTATCTTGTTTACACACTTGATAACAGTAACTATTTAAAACATGTGAAAAAATAGCACAAATGTAACATTGTACTGGGATAAGGTGCATAAATTAAGAAAAAGGCATCTCCTTATCGTGCAACTGAAAGTTGCTGATGGCTGGCGCCATCTATCGGAATAAATATCAACTATTCTCGTTGATTTTTAATTATTCCAGAATTGGCCAAATACCCATTCTTGATTAATTAAGAAAAGCTAACCACGGACGCGTTTCGGGCTCTTGGCCCTCATCAGCGTGGTGCAAGCTGTACCTCAACGACCAAAAAATTTGGTCATTAAGGCATCCTGAAAAATCATGAAACGGATAGTTAAGGCCAGAATTGCGTGAGGACGCTACACAATGTGAAAAAATAGCACAAATGTAACATTGTACTGGGATAAGGTGCATAAATTAAGAAAAAGGCATCTCCTTATCGTGCAACTGAAAGTTGCTGATGGCTGGCGCCATCTATCGGAATAAATATCAACTATTCTCGTTGATTTTTAATTATTCCAGAAACGTTATAACACTAAGTTATAGTGTCACGTCTACCACGCCTGTAGAAGGGGTTTTTACCCGAAAGCTCGCACCGTTATAATTTGTCTAATAAAGAAACTTTTCTTCTCTTATTCTGTTTTATCGCATAAACAATACTGAGAAGATTATCACTGTCGTTATTCACTAATTCTGTACATATTTAAAATATCTTTCTTTCAAAATTTTGTTTATCTTTAAAGTGCAAGTGTCCCTAGGGGGACATAAGTCGAAATAAATAAATAAACCTAGTGTGTGAACAAGTCTCCTTAAAAAATAGACTGACAACATCAAAGACTTTCCAGAGTGTAACAGGAACCAACCATCCTGATCTCGGCAAGTTCTAGATGTACTCCATTTCCAGCTGTGAATAACACTTAATATTCCATTACCTTATGTAAAGGACAACATCTAATTCTTGCAAGGCCAAAGTGTCCTTTAATGAGAGTAAAACGATATTTGACAAGTTTTACCGCAAATGTTTCTTTTGAAAGAAAAATCTTAATTTATTTTAAGGAGAAATAACGACTATTTCTATCCTTAGGGATGAAGTATACTATATTGTAGCGTAGAAATCAAGCCTTGAAATATCCTAAGATGTAAAAGTATTTATTGATGACGTTACAGCGACGAGTCGACAATTATTAACAGGTCCGCCAAAACTATTTACAGCTAGAGAATCTTAAGCAAGCAAGCAAAGAAATATTTAAAAGATGATTTCACAAATACAGAGTAATATCAATTGAAAAAGCTCTATAGATTTATAATTGAATAAAATAAAGCATCAAGGGCTGCATATCTTTATATTTTTATAATCTGTTGAATATATTTTCATTGAATAATATTAAATTAAATAATAAAATATTTCTTTGTCACAATATACACGTTTAACTGTATATGGTAAGCCAAAATTACATAAAACCAAATATTCCCTTAAGACCCTTAGTAGCTTTTTAACTATCTTCATTTTAAAATACAGAAGTTCCCCTTATTTTTCATTTTTTTAGATAGAGATCAAGCACTTTCCTACTTTACTACTACAAAAATTAGTGTCCAGGGATGGGAATTTAATGAGTGTCCTTTTACTGGAAAGTTTTCTAAATAGTAAAAATATATTTTTGACAATGAAAACTGTCCTATATAGAGTGGCCTCTAGCACTCGTGTCCTCTTACTGGAAATGATAAGACACAATTTGGATTATAGATTATAAACACAAGGTAATAAGACGAAATCCAAATAAATAAATAGTGTGTGACATTTCGTTACCATCTTCAGACAAAAGTACTTTTGTCTGAAGATGGTAACGAAATGTCACACACTATTTATTTATTTGGATTTGGTCTTATTACCTTGTGTCTCTTACTGGAAAGTTTGCTGAATAGTAAAAATATATATATTTTTTTAATGATGAAAACTGCCCTTTATAGAGTGGCCTCTAGCAGGAGTGTCCTCTTATGGAGGTTCTACTGTAATTGTTTTGTCTCCAAAATCTAAAAGACCTTTT